TATATATATATATGTATATATATATATATATGTATATATATATATATACACATATATATATATATATTTGTTCATATATATATATATATATACATATATAAATATATATATGTATATATATATATATATATATATATATATATATATATATATATATATATATATATATATATATATATATATATATATATATATATATATATATATATATATATATATATATACAGTGGGGTGCAAAAAAAAGCCACACTAATTTTTTTTTTATATTTTAAGCATAAAATGTATAATAATGCAAAACAAAAAAAATTGGATGTGGCAGTGAAAAATATAGGGCAGAAATGGTACGTTTATATATAAACTAATATTTATATAAATAAAATCTTTAAAAAACAGATTATTATGGACACATTTAATATTTTAGAAAACATCTTACAGATGTAGAAATTGGACGAATTATTGAAGCTGCTGACCAAGGAGAGTCTCACAGAAGCATTGGAAAGCGTTTTAAACGAGAAAACTCAACTATTAGTAGATTGGTAAAGAAATACAAACACACTGGTAAAACTAAAAGGGTTGTTGGATCTGGGAGAAAACCAAAAACTTCAAAAAAGGAAGATCGCTACATTTTTAATGCTGTCACAAAAAAATCGTAAAATCACTCGTTCTGAGATAAAACTAGATTTGAACCTTACTAATATCTCAAAGTGGACAATATTTCACAGGATTAAAGCATCAAGTGATTTTTTTTCTGGAAAGCAAGTTAAAAAACCTTTTGTTAGTGAAATCAATTGAAAAAAGGGTGTAAAGTGGTGCATTGAGCACAAAAATTGGACATGTGAACAATGGGCTAACGTTATCCGGAGCAATGAGTCTCTATTTGTTTTGTATTATAATGGTCGATCTCACTGTTGGAAATTAATTGGGGAAAAATTCAATCCTCAAACGTGCAAGGCAACTATTAAACATGACAAAAAGATTAATGTCTAAGATTGTTTTAGTGCACACAAAGTTGGAAAACTTTACCGGGTGAAGGGCATTATGGACCAGCATTTGTATCACAAAATCTTAGTTAAACCAGCTGGGACCAAGTATAAGTATAGAACTTTTTCCTAATGGTGACTATAGCTTTCAACAGGATAATGATCCCAATCATACAGCACGGTTGAATAAAAGATATCTAGAATCTAAATTGATTCCAGTTATGTCTTGGCCAGCACAGTCTCCTAATTTAAATCCAATAGAAAACCTTTGGTCTATTTTGGATAAAAAATTGCAAGATAACAAATAAAGATGATCTGTTCTAAATTCTTCTTGATGTTTGGAATGCTTTGCCAAATGACTTATTAAAAAGACTTGTAGATAGTATGCCTTCTAGATGTGCGGAAGTCATAAGAAACAAAGGATGGCCAATTAAATACTAAAACAGCTTTAACCTAAAAAATACTTTACAAATCCTAATTTCTTTTTATTATATGTAATATACAATTATTTTATAAACCTTTTTTCTCAATATTGGCTGTAATAGAAGTAACATTATATGAGTTTTAGACATTTGTTGTTGTTGTTTTTATAAAAAAATTGAGTGTGGCTTTTTTTTTGCACCCCACTGTATATATATATATATATATATATATATATATATATATATATATATATATATATATATATATATATATATATATATATATATATATATATATATATATATATATATATATATATATATATATATACATATATATATATATATATATATATACATATATATATATATATTTTTTTGTCAGGTCAGGTTATTCTGCTACTGGTAACATGTAACCCAGTACAACCAGCTTTATTTCATGCTGCTTTGTAGGATATTCATTTTTAGGCAAAGGCTAGGAGAAGCCAACTCTGGCTTAACTCACCAACTGCTTTGGAGCTCTTTGTTGATTAAAAGCTAGAGATGGTGTCTCAATAAAAATACTAATCTTGGGCAGACTTGCAAGGCAAAGAATTAAGGGGTAAACAGATTCTATCTGTTAACCAGTTTCACTCCCCTTTTTCTTCTATTAGTCTGGCATAGATGGTTTTATAATACATTGTTTCCAATTTAAGATGTTGAATGCTGGATCTTCCTGACTCAATTCATGGGTTTTGCTTCTGTCTTTTATAACTATACATTGTTTCCAATTTAAGATGTTGAATGCTGGATCTTCCTGACTCAATTCATGGGTTTTGCTTCTGTCTTTTATAACTAGGCAACTCATTCTATTAACTCCTAATGAGGTTTCAGTTTTAAAACTCAGTTTTATGGTTCTAAGGCCAGCTGGTAGTCAGGTTTACTTAACTCAGAGCTATAAAGTATCAGAGTACTAACAGTATCTAGTTGCGCATTGATGGTATCCCTATTTGTACTTTTGTACGTGTGCATTGTGCATATTTTTGTACGTGTGCATTGTGGAGGCCACATTTTGGAGCCCTTTGTTATGGCTTAAGGTTTATTAAAAGCAATGAGGCAATTGCTTGGACTACCAAGTAGTGTACTGAGTACTATTTTTACTATATCTATAATTTGTAAAGATTCCAATAGTCACATACTTGGCCTGGGCATAAACATTAATTAGATTTCACTCATTTGTTGGGAAACTAGGTTTGAAACCATAGACTATTCTTTTATGTGCTTTCATTTAGTACCGCTTCACTCTATCACCTTTCTTTTTGTTCTATATTGCTTGACTTCATCTCAAGACTGTACTCTTTTTAATGTTCATCACACTGAATGGCTTGGTTCTAGTGTCAGTGACTATGCAGGCTTTAAGGCCCACAATTTTTGTCTTTCTCAATCTCTAACACAGATGATCAACTTTTCAATCAGAAATCTGAATCATTTACCTTCTCTAGTTGACTTATGTCTTGTTTCTTATACTAGTTAGTTTCTCCACATTCATCCTTATCTGCTTCTGATCACGGTTTGATCACTCTAAAACTATTATCTCATTTTTCTTCATCATCAGAAATCCCCTATCATTGTACCTCTCACAATTACCTTAAAGCTGACTGGGACTCTTTTCGTGATTTTTTTTATGATGGCCCTTGGGTAGAAATCTTTTATCTTCCTGCTGACAAATGTGCTCCTTATTTAACTTGGATTCAGGCTGGCATGGAATCTTTTATTCCCTCTCAACGATTTTACATTAAGCCTCACTTTTCTCCATGTTTTTCCTATAATTTTGATGCTGTAATTTAATCTTAACCATTATTTACATGTCTATCGCCAAAACAATTCTCCAAAAAACAGGCTGTTTACTATTGCTAGAAACCAATGCAAAAAGGTTTGTCTAATGCCAATGCCCTAACTGAGAGAATGCCCGAACAATGCCATGAACTGAGAATGCCTGGCATTCTCTCTCAGTTCATGAAATCTCATATTTCATCTCAAAAATAAGTTATAGTGATCTTTCTATTAAAATTCTAAATAAAATAATTAATATATGAATATAATATATGAATAATATAAATAATAATATATAATATATGAATATAATTAATATATGAAAAAAAACAAACATTTTGTTTCAAATCTAGATTAAATTATTTAAAAAAAAATAAACAGCAAAACAAACGCATTACTAAAATTCTAAATAAAATTGTTAAAATAAAAACACAAAGCAAACTTTTTATTTAAATTGTGAACAAATTAATTTAAAAGCACAACAGCAGAACAAACGTTTTATTTCATTTCTAAATTATACAATTAAAATAAAAGCGAAAAAACAAAATTTTTATTTAAAAAAAACACTTTGAAGGAGATAAAAATTAAAGTAAAATGCCAAAATGAATATTCTATTTAAATTCCAAAATTTTCTTTGTTTTTCATATTCTTATGCAAACGTCTGCAAACTTGGCAGTTTGGAAATTTATATTGCAAGTTAATTATTGTTTTATTATTAAATATAAATTCAGAAGAATATATAAATTGTTTGGTTGAAACAGATAGTATTGAATTTATGTTTATTACAATTTTTGTTTATGTTTATTTTTGATGTTAACTTGTGCGGTGTCTTACTTCGAATCCTTACGAAATTCCTAAATTGTACTAATGCGAGTTAATGAATGAATTATTTTTTAACCTATTCTGTCATTTTCTTGCTCAAAATAAAACTTTCTTTCTTTCCAAATAGTTTATTTTTATTCACAGAATTGAACTCTGATATTTACAAAATTTTCACATAAATTTATATTAATTAACAATATTTACAATTATAATAATTAATTGAGAACTATTGATTATTGCAAATTAAGATTGAATAATAGTATTAAATAACAATACATTTATATTAAATTACAACCTTCAAAAATCAACATGAAAAAAAAACCATTTATTATATGTTTGTAATTATAATAATTGATTAAGAACTATTAATTATCATTATTTAAGAATTAATAATGATATTAAACAACAATAACAATAAATTAATATTAAATAACCCTCAACATTAAAAAAACTGCCTAAAAATCAACATTAAAAAACTGGCTAATACTTATTTACATTTATAATAGTTAATTAAAAACTATTAATTAAGAACTATTAATAAAAAAACCAGGTAATTTTCATAGTATATTCTGGAATTTTCTACACCAAAGTAGTAACTGACTTTGCTTTAACTTTTGTTTTTTCAGTCACAATTATGTCAAAGTGTAATTATAATAAGTGGAAAAAAAGATATGTTCTTGTATTGGAAATACAGCAACATCCGGCCGGCAGTTAAAAGAATAATTTAAAAAACTTTACTTTTAACAGCTTAGCTTGACTATTAAAAATGTAAATGTGTTCTATCTAATACAAATACACTAGGTTTGAATTTTTTTTAATAAAAAATATTTAAAATTTTTTTTTATAATAATTTTGATAATAAGTTAAAAATTTTAGAAAAGATTTTTAACTTATTAATCAAAATTATTATAAAAAAACATAAAAAATGCATTTTTTTCATTTTTTGTTAAAAAGTGCAATTTTTAATGTAATAAAATCAAAAATAACAATTTTTCGAAATGAATATTATTTTTGAAATTTTTATATAAACTCGCTTCATTTGAGTACCAGGTTGACATATTTTTGAAAAAAAAAATTTTGAAAATATTATGGACCCATTAAATATTCGAGGGTCTTGGGGGACCCCTTACAGTATTTTTTGTTAAAAAAAAATTCAAACCTAGTGTTTTCTAGTGTTTTTTGTATTAGATAGAACACATTTAGGGGGAGAAAGCAGATTATTTTTAAAAATGTTGTTTTTTGGGACACTTAAATATATATATATATATATATATATATATATATATATATATATATATATATATATATATATATATATATATATATATATATATATATATATATATAGGCTGTCCCAAAAAAAATTATATATATATATATATATATATATATATATATATATATATTAGGCTGTCCCAAAAAAAATTATATATATATATATATATATATATATATATATATATATATATATATATATATATATATATATATATATATATATATATATATATACACACATTACTGGAAAAATTATTATGGATTTTTAGAATTGTCACTAAATTCCATTAGTTGAGACAACTAAAAAGTTTTCAGTGGTCAATGATATGCTTTTGTTTTAATGACATTTATATATATTGTAATGGGACTATTTTATTTTCAAATAAAACCTATTTAGATCTAATTTTTTTTAATTTTAGGGTCATTTAAGAGCTAGATAAGAAAAGTTTCTGAAATTTAACTGTAAATTCTGAAATATATTAATTTGAGTTTGTGTCAATTTCTTTTACTCTCTGTGGTGTATGGTGCGCATTGTATGTATTTGAACTCTGCAAATTTTAAGGTTCAGTTCTAAAAAAATAAAAAAAAATATTTGTTCAGCAAAATCTGTGACATTTTTGACTGATTTTGAAGTGGTGGGGAAAAGAAAAGACCTGAGCCCTAGAAAAAAAGCACAAGTCTGTGTTTTGTTGGAGAATAGTAGCCTAAAACAAAAGGAGATAGCTATGAAATTAAAGATTTCAGCACAAACAGTTAGTGCAGTGAAAAGGAAGCTGGATGAGGATAGAAACGTTGAAGCTGGAAGAGTTGGAAATTGCGGTCGTAAAAGAATCACTACCCCTAGACTTGAGAGAAAAATCAATGTAATGGGTCTCAAAGATAGAAGACGTTCTTCTATCAAGGTATTAATGTAAGCCGTAAAACAGTGAATAATCGCTTGTTGGAGCAGGAACTGAAGGCATACAGACCAAGAAAAAAGCCAAGAGCCACAAACAAAATGAAGTATGCCAGGCATGGGCGGACTGTTGAGCATGAAAGTTGGACGCAAGAAGATTGGTCCAAGGTAATCATTAATTTAGCTTTCTGTTAGATCTCTGATAGTATTGATTTCCTAACTTCTTTCAGTTTCAACATAATTCAGTCTCTCAAGTCAGAGACTGGTTCACTAATAAGGATTTTATTTTTCAACAAGATTGTGCTCCTTGCCATACGGGCAAGTTGTCAATAAGATGGTTCCGAGACAATGGACTCTCTGTACTCGAATTTATGGAACATTTTAAAGGACGAAATACACAAAGTTCCAATTACTACAAAAGCACAGCTTATAGAAAGGTTAATACATGTCTGGTTCCACAGCGAAAAAATCACAAAGTTATGCCGTGATTTAATCATAGGCATGCCCAAGAGAATGAAAGTATTGAAAGCTGTCATGTATATGTATATATATATATATATATATGTGTATATATATATATATATATATATATATATATCAATTGATGTTAAATTTGTATTACAATAGTAATACAAAACTGAAATAGCGGTTAAGAGTGCTCAATAATAAAGAAAGTAAACAACTTTCTAACTAGAGCGGTATATATATATATATATTTATTTTTATTTACATATAGAAAAAACAACTTTTCATGGGACTAATAGTTTCATGCCTATACGGCAATCATCAGCCATGTACTATATCAAAAACAAACAAACCGTTAATAAAATTACAAAATACAGTGGAGCGACATCTACGTCTCTATAGAGACAAAAAAAGAAAACGTCAAAGAAAATCTTATATAAATTAGCTAATTGCCAGTATCATAAAACGAAAGAAGGAATTTATTTTTATGCCTACAATTTGAAACCAACTCGTTCCTTTTGTTCAACAGGTTTCTCCTGTATGCGTTAAAATAAAATACTTTTCATTAAGACAAAGATTGCAAATTTTGGACGAAGGATTATATGTTTGGCAGCGCTTGATAATTTTCCATTTAGTAACAAACGAAAAGTTTTCTTCTTTAAGTTTCCAAATTTCTTTAGATAACTCCGTATCATCGCTGTACTTAATTAAATTAAAAGATTTGCATACCTTATCTTGAAAGGGGTCTCGCTAATACCAATATACTTTATCTGTGTAATCTGGTTTATTGGATGAAACAGTAGCTTGATACACAATGTTCTTACTTAGACACTGGTTGTTCATAACGCAGGTAGATTTATTGATGCAGTTGCAAAGTTTTGTTGTTGTTTTTTCATGATTGTATAAAATATTTTGATTATGCGAATAACGCATAAAGGGGGAAACCTGTTGAACAAAAGGAACGAGTTGGTTTCAAATTGTAGGCATAAAAATAAATTCCTTCTTTCGTTTTATGATACTGGCAATTAGCTAATTTATATAAGATTTTCTTTGACGTTTTCTTTTTTTGTCTCTATAGAGACGTAGATGTCGCTCCACTGTATTTTGTAATTTTATTAACGGTTTGTTTGTTTTTGATATAGTACATGGCTGATGATTGCCGTATAGGCATGAAACTATTAGTCCCATGAAAAGTTGTTTTTTCTATATGTAAATATATATATATATATATATATATATATATATATATATATATATATATATATATATATATATATATATATATATATATATATATATATATATATATATATATATATATATATATATATATATATATATATACACACGCACACACACATGTTTATATATATATATAGGTTTGTATTTTTTTTAAGAAATGAAGAATTGCCTCAATATAGGCGTGATTTACTTCAAAAAATCAAAACTTTCCGTGCTGAAATTCAATTACTTCAATCAGATGTAAGTAATACAAAAATCTAATTAATCAATTAAAAAGTTATTCATTTTGTATTATTTTGTATGCAGTTTTGGTGTGTATTAAATTAAAAAACTTACATACATCCTTGGTTCTGACAAGTTCTTAAAGTCAAAGAGTCATTTACTTTAAAATTTTTTTTTTTAGGCTGGCCATTTCAGAATTGAAGTTTCTAGAGATGATATTTTTGAGGTAAAGTGACCATGTTATATTCTAGTTAGTTATATAAATTTGATGTAAATTTTTAAAAAATCAATGTTTTTTAATAGTAACTTATATATTCTTAACCTTTTCTTTCTTATGCCATTATAACAAGTGTAACTGTTACAAACTTATGTATACTAACACAAAAAGTATCAGAAAAATTATATATATATATATATATATATATATATATATATATATATATATATATATATATATATATATATATATATATACTCTTGCATGGTAGTGAAAAAGAGTTTCCCATAAACTGTAGTTTTAAAGAGCGCGTTAATAAACCAGACCAGAAAAAAATTAAAAACTTAATTTTTTTTTTTTTTAAATGATAGACTGCCTGCCTAAACCAAACCCTCAGTCGATGTAGCAGCACTCCCTTGCGAGTCAGGCTATTTGTCAGTCGTTGTAGCAGCACTCCCTTGCGAGTCAGGCTATTTGTCAGTCGATGTATCAGCACTCCCTTGCGAGTCAGGCTATTTGTCAGTCGATGTAGCAGCACTCCGTTGCGAGTCAGGCTATTTGTCAGTCGATGTAGCAGCACTCCGTTGCGAGTCAGGCTATTTGTCAGTCGATGTAGCAATATTTACGCATGTTTTAAAAATGTTTTTTTATAAAACAAAAACAAAAACACCACTAATTAAAAAAAACTTTCTAGTCGTTATTATTGCGGTTTTTTAAAATTTTTTTAAAATAAAATTTAATGTACTTCCGCATTAATTTAATTGCTTTGACATTTCGACGACAATCAAATACAGCTTAAGAGACGAGGTAATTAAAAATGTAATCGAAAGAGACTTTTTTTACATTAAAAGACTCTTTCGACTACACTATAAGGATATATATACATATATATATATATGTATGTATGTATGTATGTATATACATATATACATATATGTGTATGTGCGTATATATATATAATTTGTTTTTCTATAGCTATCTTATCAGTCTATAATGAAAACAAAGGCTCGTGAACTTCGAAAGCGTCTTGTAGTCAAATTTAAAAATGAGGTTGGACTGGACTTTGGTGGTATCGCTCGAGAATGGCTGTACATTTTATCTCAAGAAATGTTTAACCCTTATTATGGGTTGTTTAAATATTCAAAAGATTCACAATATACTCTTGAAGTGAACCCTGATTCTGGTGTAAATCCGGTAATTATATGAAATTTATGAGAAAATAAACTAGTGTTGTTATTGTCTTTGACTAAAATTAGACTAGTCAAAAGTCAAAATAAGTTGACTTTGAAAAATCAATTTATTCAATTATGGACTTACTTACTAAAGTAAAAGTTGATTTAGTTGAGTAAAAATTTCAAAATCTTTATATCTTTTCATTTAATTTAACTTTTCAATCTTAAATTTTTGCTTTTTCATTTAGTAACAGTAGCATGTAATTCATCTAATTCATAGCTCCAAGCTAGCTTAGGGCCCTGGGGCAAAATTAAGTTGTGAAGCTTCTAAATCTAATTGTCATCTATACATTTAAATTGTAAATAAGATTTTATAGACTTTTTGATTTTTAACAAATATTCAAGTTGGTTCTTTAATCATTAGAATCTGGGAATAAATTGTCCCGTTGTCAGAGCGGCTCTTCTCTCATATTGTTATGCTCCATTATTATTTAAATGGTATGATGTTAAAAAATAGAAAGAGAATATAAATTATTTTATTATTTTTAGTGCAGGTTATTTCAAAAAAATAAATTCCAATATTTCAACTAAATCGACTTTTAGTTGGCTTTGTATGTATTGAAATGTATTAATTGATTTTAGTCAACTTTTAAAAATATATTAGTTGATTTAGTCGAAAGTTGAATTATATAAAAGTTGTAACAACATTGGTATAAGCTCATCTAAATATATTATATTAAAAATTATTTGTTATAATTGTTTAGTATAGTTTAGTTAATTAATTTAAAAATTCGATTTTTTTATAAAATAAATTTACCTCTTTAGGGGTTTTTGTAGGTTTATTACAGTGAATAAGATTGACGTAAACTTTTAATTTGTTAACTTTTATAAAACAGTTTTATATAGAAAAAAAAAAATCTTGCTTAACACCACTTGAGGCAAATGCATTGCACATAACCTATACTTTGTGCATTTTTTTTTTTTTTTTTTTCAGGATCATTTATCTTACTTTCATTTTGTTGGAAGAATAGTAGGTATCGCAGGTTAGAGGTTTTCTTTATTTTTCACGATATTTGTTAAGGTGTTGTTCATTAATGTTCTACAAGCTGTTTTCTTAATTTAACAATAATTATATTAATTGTTAAATTAAGTAATTAAGAGTTGTTAATTAAAGAAAATGAACTCATAAACTCTTAAAGAAACTTGACAAAGTGACTTCATCTTAATTTTCATGAATTGCAAATATTGAATATTTCACAAACAAATAAAATTATATGTAGTAAATATAAATAATATTATATTATATAGTATATAAATAAGGTTTTTGTATTATATTATAATAGTTTATAATACTAATACCAATGCCTTATGATAATTTTAGCCATTTTAGACATCCTTTGGCTGCTAAATATTATAATGTAATAAATCTTTATTATATTATACTATAATAAATATATATATATATATATATATATATATATATATATATATATATATATATATATATATATATAAACATATAACATACAAACATATAAACATACATACATATATACATACATACAAAAATTATATTTTCAGTCTCTTTAGACAATCTTTGACATTTTGCATTACAAAATTTAAAAATTACGAATAAACAGTTCTTTGTTTTTATTAAATTGCTTGTGACTGAATTTTTTTTAAAGATTGAGGCAAAGAAAAACAATAACCAAACGATAATCACTAACAGTGTTAAATAATGTCAGTTATTATAAAATTGTTGCTATTGCTTACTGGAATGATTTTATAGTGCTGCTTGAAATTATTTTAGGATACTATTATTTTTTAGTATTTCATCATCATTACCTTGATGGAGGTTTTACTATGCCATTTTATAAGGTATTTTATAAGGCTTTGTATATTCAGATACATATGAATTTTATCATTTTATATAGATTATTTGTTATTTAAATATATTAAGATATATATAGATTATATTATATTAAATAGATGGTGATATAGAACAATGTGTTAACCCACTTGAACACATAACTGAGATAATTGACTTAAAATTTTGCAGTTATTATAAGTCCATTTTGTGATTTTTCATTTAAGAAAACATATGTTTTACACAGTAATAAATTGCTTATGGGGTCTAAACTATTTTTTATAGTAGACTAACATGTTTTAGTATTTTTGGCATTAACGCATTGTCACAAAGTACCATCATATATAAATATGAGTATATTTAAAGTATATTTTAGAGTATTAAAGATTGAAGTAATTTTGTAGATTGAATTTTTTTGTTATGTAAATAATCTAATCTATCAATTTTTTTTTACATTTATTGTTTGTGTGTGTTTACGAAGCAACTTTTAGGAAAGCCAAACACTTTAGAAGATTTAGAGAGTGTCGATCCTGAATTATATCGAAGTCTGAAGTGGGTGGCGTAAGTACTTAAATGGTTTTTTTTAACTGTTTAATGTGTTTTTTTACTGTTAATACTTTACTTGTAGTTTAAGTTTTACTTTTAAATAATAAAAAAGTTTATGAGTTTTTTTAAGTTCATTTAGTTTATAAGTTTTTGAGAGAATAAGTGATAGAGGTTTATTATTAAAAGTAAAATTATGTTTCAAATTATGACCTTTGCAAAAAAAGCACAAAGAATTTTTTAAAGAATTTAAAAAACTTTTCGTGATTAAAACAAGGACCTTGTTTTAATCACGAAATAAGGAAGCAGTTTGTTGTAAAACAAACTGCTCTCTAATAAGGTCTATAAAGGAGCAGTTTATTGTAAAACTAAGATTTTTAAGGGAGCAGCTTATTGTTAAACTAGAGCATGAAAAAGAGCAGTTTGTTGTAAAACTAAACTTATAAGTGAGCCATGTATTTAAGTCCTATAAGGGAACAGTTTATTGTAAAAATATGACCTTTTTAGAGGAGCAATTAGTTGTTATAAAAATATTGAAACTAAATTTGAAAAAATGTTGTTATAAAAATATTGAAACTAAATGAAAAAAAATTTGGAAGTTGTATCATAATTTTTGTAATAATGTTTATATTGTAATTTTTAATAAAATTGTGTGGATGAAGGTGTCAAAGGATGAAGGTGTCAAAGGATGAAGGTGTCAAATTTGATGTTAACTTTTGATCAACTATAATTTTCATTTATCATTAAAAAAATTTTATTATTTTCAGTTTTTGCTATCACACAATAAGGTTGTTTTTTTTTTGTTTTTAATTTTTTTGTAAAAAGAAAAACTAAATAAAAAGTTGTCAGGGAAAGTTGATGTATTTTCCTGGTTTAGTCAATATTTGCTGCTGAGGTTATAGAATCTGATCAGAATTTTTAAATAATAATAAGGTTTCCGGATTATTAATGAGGGCAGTTTGCAAAGGTTTATCTAAAATTAGTCACAAATTGGACAACAATTAAATATTATATTTCCTTAATTTTTTTTTTTTTTTTTTTAGTTTTTTTTTTCAGTTTTTGACAATTTGCACATTTTTATGCAAGTTGTGCAAGTAAAATTTATTTTTTTCACTTTGTTTTATGTTAAATTTAGCAGATTTAATGATTAATCTGTTCCACTGGCATCATGTGGTAGCTTAACAAGCTTCTTTAAATTTTCCCTTTGTTTGACAGTTTTATGAATATACAGATGGTTTTTAAATGGAGATGTAAAATTTAATGAAGCTGGTGAGTCAAAAAAAAAAAAAAAATGACAATCAAATAAAATCTAAAAGTTGTGTAGAGTTGTTAAGTTTGATTCAGAATCTATTAAATCATCCAGAAAACTTTGGCTTTCTATGCAACTAGTGTGGTTAGTCCCAACGAAAAGGAAAATAAAAAGAAAACATTTTTTATTCTTTAGCCAAATAGTAAATTACAATAATTTTTTTCTGGTATATGTTCTTTGTAAGCTTTGAAACTCAATTTATTTTAATAATCAATAAGATAATCCTCTTTATGTTAAATACTATCATTATGTAGTTGTTAAATTTGATGCATAATCCATTGTCATTGTATCAAAAAAGATTTGGATCTCTTCTGTTTAAATATTAAATGATGCGGTTGTTAGTTGCAGGTTTGCAATCTTTAGAAAAAACAAATGTAATAACTTAGATCTTATGGAATTTATATTGCTATTTATTGCTCATGAAAAATACAATGTTATAATTTTATTAATAATTATTTTATACATTATAAATTTTTTAAATTTTATAAATATTTTGCTATGCAGTATCTTCAATTCATTTTATCATCAAATTGTCCAAGCTGTTATGGTTTATTTTAAACTTGCTTTTCTCTGTTACAAATGATTATCTCGGGCTTTGAAAACAGCAGCCATTTTAGCTTTTTTTATTATTTAATTTTTTTTTTCTGAGAGTATTTAGCCACTAACAATAACAATAGTTCATTACACAATCATTCAAGTTTTTGTTCAAGTTTATATTGAAGTATTGCATAGTTAAAAGAAATTAAAATCATGCTGATAACTTTTCTAGCTGTAGTTTAATTTATTTTGCTCAGATTTCAGACTTCATTCTTCATTATCCTAAGATAAAAGATATTCCTAAGCAATAAAAGATGGTGATAGTAAAAATGAAAAATGCACAAAATTTAATACTTTAGAATTAAATTTTGATCAGATAACTAGAAATATGATAGCTAAGTATTTATTTGTAAATTTCTTTTTTGATTACTTTCCAAACCTATTTTGTAAATATGAGTTATTTCTCAAGTTTACCAAATAGGTTTGAAAACTATAACAATGTGTAAAATTAAAAAATATCCAAGTTTTTTTTATGTGGAAACTGTTGTGAGGTGGCCTATAACAGCTTTGTTAAAAATAAGTATTCAGACTACTCGCCTGAGATTAGAAGAAACTTAATGGAAAAAGGTTTTACTATCAACTATAAGTTATGCAATTCTAAATAACATCACTTTGGGATCAACTATAAGTTATGCAATTCTAAATAACATCACTTTGGGATCAACTATAAGTAATGCAATTCTAAATAACATCACTTTGGTATCAACTATAAGTTATGCAATTCTAAATTTTAAAAATAATAGAGATTATTGCTCTTTTTAAGACTCTGCAAAAGAAAAATTATGATCTTTATATATATTTTTTTATTAATTAAATTTAGCTCTGCATAATTTTTGGACAATCTCTTACATAAAATGAATGTGAGTGTGATATTTTTGATGCTAGAGGCTGTCTGTTTAAAATTCTGTTGCTTAAAATTCTCTAATTTATCCTAATGGAAAAATAATTTAGCTAGTGCAAACCTAAATTTTCCTTTTTAATTTAAAAAAAATATTTTTTCAAGAATTTTTTTAATGTAATTTTAGTGAAAACAAAATTAATGACATCATTTTTCAAACTTTTGCTGTTGAACATCTCTCATTTGGTAAAACAACCTTATATGATTTGAAAAAAGATGGTAGCCAAATACCTGTAACAGACGATAATAAGAAAGAGTTTGTGAAGTAAGTAAAATATATTAAATACTTAAACTTCTTGTTTTATATATATATATATATATATATATATATATATATATATATATATATATATATATATATATATATATATATATATATATATATATATATATATATATATATATATATTTGCGCCGACCTCAATCTTTTAAAGGTTGGCATCAGGCTGGCAAACAAAATTTGATACAAAGGTCTTACTATAAAATATTGAAACGAGGTTGGCAGTTTTTTGCTGACCTCAAACACCTAATTCCGAGGGTTGTATATATGTAAGTGTGCAAAATATATTAGTTTAGTGTTAATCTAAATACACAAAGATAACGATATATATTACATATTATAAAATTATATATATATAAATATATATATATATATATATATATATATATATATATATATATATATATATATATATATATATATATATATATATATATAACATATATTTATACAAATTACTAACATTTAGTTTATAAAAATTGAACTTCTTCTCTTATATATATATTTCGATGGGTTAATTCTAAAACATTGCATGTCCAAATTTGTGCTATATTGAGTTATGAATGTTGAAATGTCAATCTTTGTGCCCTCTACTGAATTGTAGGGAATGGAGGAGATATCCATTTTAAGTTATTCAATTATAATATGTTTTTATATATTTGAACTTAAATGCAAATTTAAACTTTTAAAATCATTTTTTTCACAACTGTCTAAAATGGACATACAATGTTTTAGAATTAACCCATTGATATATAAGCAAGATTTAAATATTTTCAAAATGTTTTTGTGCGTGTTGTTTTAAGGCTCAGTTTTAAACCCAAAAACCACCATAAGATTTTTGACTACATAAACAGCTTATAGAAAACCAGATTAAATGTACATAGGTTTAAATTTTTAATTTTTATTCATCCAAGTTTTGTTCATTAGGTTATATGTAAACTATCGTCTGCGGCATGGTGTTGAAATGCAGTTTAAAGCTTTTATGAAAGGTTTTAATGAGCTTGTCCCTCAACACATTATTAAAATGTTCGATGAACGAGAATTAGAGGTTTGTAACTTTAGTTTACACATTACTTTTATCTTAGTTTGATTTTTTTAATAATGTGTTTGTCTTTAGTTGCTTATTTGTGGTCTTGGAAAAATTGACATTGCAGACTGGAAGGCAAACACACGTTTAAAACACTGTTCCAAAGATCATAATATTGTACAATGGTTCTGGGAGGTATTTATAAGTTTTTGTTTATTAGTTGGGTAGTTAATTAAGTAATTTTTATTATACAATTTTTTCACGGATATTAACATTGTTTAAATAAAGGAAAAAATTCAAGATAAATTATTAAATTATTTAGTAGATAAAAATGTTTTGTTAGGTTAGGTAATTGATCAAGATTTGGCTAGTAATCGACTGTGACTGGTATTTGTACACTAAGCCACTATCTATACATACTTCTTTTCTCATAATGTATTGACTGAAAATTTTTTGGTGAAAAGTTTTTAAGTTTTTAAGTTTATACTCTTCTTTTTTTTTTTACGTTATAATTAGTAGTTGAAAAATTATTTGAAATAATCATTCCATTATAAAACCACATATTTTTAAATACTTTATTATAACCTGAACCTTTACAAATGGATGTATAAACTTTAACACTTGCACTAATGATATCTAATGTCATCACTGATGACATTCCATAAGTAAAAATCAAATAAAGAAATAACATTTCAAAAAAATTGTTTATATGAATTTATTAAGGTAAGTGTTTGTGGTGAATACTGTTTTCCATTACTGCATTAAAGATCTTACCTTTAACGGAAAGTGAGAATGGGTAAATAAAAGGAGTCTTTTGTCTAATCCAATATATGCTTTTCTTAATTTCATGATTTTTCTCACACAAAATCAAACTTCAATTCTTTTTCCTCTATTTACATCTTCAGCTACTTTATTGTCTAATGAAGAAGTCTAGAAGCATCTTCATAAAAGCCTGGTATTTTATGTGCAAACCACATGGGGTAGTAAACTTAAATAATATACTTTGTAATATAAAATAATATTATACTTTGTATTTGTGCAGAATTCAACTGTCCCATTCTTTGCAGTAGCATTAACTGTAATATATTGTAGAGTTAGTTATTTGACATGGTAAACATGACCAGGGTTTTTCATTGAATGTTTTAGGGAATTAATCTTTAGATATTCAAATGCAATATTGGTTTATGTTGTTCTGTAATAAGATCAGTTACCATAAGAGTCAATCTTTGAACGAATTAAAAGAAATTAACGTATTATTAAATTTTGTATATTATCTGTATGAGCATTTTGACCAATAAGACCCTTATATTTCATTGGATATTTACTTTTACTATCTATTTTTGTTTTGATATGGTAAAGAGGTGGCTCATTTTAGTAAAGGGCAATGCCATTTAAATGAAATCTTTTACTTAAAAGCCTTTCTAATGTGTTATTAATCGATTATCTAGTATTATCTAGTACAATGGCTACCAAACTTATAATGGTGTTGTATTTTTTGAACATTGTTAGTGTCTTGATTCCTATTTTATTTTCTACTCCAATATGCATTTTTATTTTTATTTTTTTCAATATGCAATAAATAATTATTTAAAAAATTATAAAAGTGGGTATTTAATAAACTTTAAAGTACATTTTATATGTTCGTACACAAGGTACACTTGTTTTTTATCTTCTGTAAGGTACACTTGTTTTTTTTCTTCTTTAAGGTACACTTATTTTTCTTCATCTTTCATGTTACTGTTTTGTTTTTTCTCTGATAGAAATCTAATTTTTTAATGAAATTGGTTTTCAGTCATTTGACTTTGACTAAATTTTAGATTGTTGACTCATATGATGAAGAAAAAAGAGCAAGGCTACTTCAGTTTGTGACAGGATCTTCACGTGTTCCAGTACAAGGGTTTAAAGCATTGCAAGGTATTTACTAGAACTAAATTTTGGTTTTTAAAATTTTAAAATTCAGTAAATACAAAATTGAAATAAGAAAATATAAAATTGTTATGAAAGTTCATTTCAATTTTAAATTTTTTTATTCAGGTTCAACTGGTTCAAATGGACCTCGATTATTTACCATTAGTTTAATTAATGCTGACATTGCTTCATTACCGAAATCTCACACCTGGTAAGGGTTTTTATATATGGTATGTATAAAGGGATATATATATTTATATACATATATATCTATATATATATCTATATCTCTCTCTCTCTCTTTCTCTCTCTCTCTCTCTCTCTCTCTCTCTCTCTATATATATATATATATATATATATATATATATATATATATATATATATATATATATATATATATATATATATATATATATATATATATATGTATATGTATATTTATGCATATACATATATATATATTAGGGGTGTTCAGTATGCTAATTTGTTTTCAGAACATAGCTAATTGAAGTTTTTCCCATTTAACTATCATATTGTGGTTCAAAAATATTTTTTACTAAATTTTATTATTTGCCCTAAAGGTCCCTCAAAGTCACTAAACATTTGACAGGTCCCTAATATTATTAAAAAAAAAATTATTTAAAAATATGTCAACTTGGTACTCAAAAGTAGCAAAATTTTATAAAAATTTTAAAAATTAGATTCATTTTTTATAAAAAACAACTTAAAAAAGCTTATTATTAAAAATGTTGTAAATATTACCTTTTTTTCATTTTTCGTTTAAAAACCATAGTTTTTATTCAAAAAAACCTAATATTGTTATTTTTATAAAAAATACTTTTTGTTACATACAGTGGCGGATAAAGACTTCTTGGGGCCCGGGACTATTTTTGTTTTTGGAGGCCTTTTTATGGGCCAGAGCCTAAAAATGACTTTAAAAAAAAAAGGTCCTCTAAAATTTTTGTTGGTCTCTAAATTTGTGGGCCTACACCCCCCACCCCCCACCCCACCCCATCATCCTTTATCCATGCAATGGTTACAAAAGCATCCTGGATAAAAATCTAGTACCTTATAACCATTTTTTGTTGAAACATATTAATTTTAATAGTAACACCCTGCTTTTCAAATATTATAACTGTTCCAAAGAAGAAGAAAAAAAGGAAGAATCTCAGATTCATTTTACAAGAAAATGTTTTTAAATCATCCTAAAAATCAAAAAAGAGCTATAAAAACATTGAATTTAAAGTACAAAAAACAACAAATAAAAATGCATTAGGAAAGATTAGAGAAAAGGAAAAATAAATGATTGCTAAAGGAAACCTATTTTGCGATGAGTTATGTAGTATTACAAAATGTTTGAAAAAAAGTTTTTATTTGAAAATGCTTTGAAAAATAAGTTTTATTACGAAACGTTTTAAAATTTTTTTAGCTTTAATCTTTTTCTTTTTTCTTTTTTTTTTTAGCTTTAATCGAATTGATCTTCCAAAGTACGAATCAAAATCTCAGCTATATGAAAAGCTGACGTTAGCAATCGAAGAAACATGTGGATTTAATATCGAATAAAACAAAAGCTAGCGTTAGCAATCGAAGATTTAATTTGTGTTCCAATTAAGTTTAAATTATTTTTTCTAGGAGAGTTTGTTCTTATAACCATGACAACCTTATAACCATTCTTATAACCATGACAACCATTTCTTATAACCATGACAACCATTTAACCTTAGGTTAGTTCTTATAACCATGACAACCATTTAACCTTAGGCTCCGTAAGCTTCTAAGTTGCATATTATACAAAATCGTTTGTGTTTTATTTGTAGTTATTTTGCTATACTCAAAAAATGATTAATAGACATGCGTTTGGAGATTTATATTTTGTATTTAAATGATTTAAACGTGACAAATAAGGAAAATAATTTATCGCTGAACGTAGCCATTCATAGGTTAAATGTTAGGAGTTTATTAGTTTTATAAGTGTTTTAATTATACACAAATACAAATAGTTCTTTATTTAATATTTTTTTGCGTTTAAATTTATTTTTTTGTATATTTAATCTTTTTATTGTTGCATACCATACTAAGCTTTTATATCATACCGTACCCTATAGGCATTTGTTTTTAAAAATTACGTATTAAATTTTTAAACGTATTCTACACATTCCAACGTAAAGAACGTTTAAAAAACATTTAGAACCTAATTTTTAAATACAAATGTCCTTAATGTTCTAAGATTTTATACCGTGGCAATTTATATTGCAGGCTTTGCTTGTAGTATAAATTGCCGCGGTATAAATCGCAAATGGCGTATTTGACTGAGAGGCTATTTTATAAACAGCGAAAACTAAAAAAATCTGTTGAGAAAATTTATATTTACTTAATGAACATTTTTTTTCTTAAAAAGTTCTAATTTATAATTACAAACTGAAACATATATATATATATATATATATATATATATATATATATATATATATATATATATATATATATATATATACATACATACATACATACATACATACATATATATATATATATATATATATATATATATATATATATATATATATATATATATATATATATATATATATATCTTTAAAATTTTTTTAACTAGTTAGTAAATTGATTCAAATAATCTTATTTTTGACCTAATTTATTTTTACGATTATTTATTTTTTCTACGGCTTAGGGCCTCTATTCTATATATATATATATATATATATATATATATATATATATATATATATATATATATATATATATATATATATATATATATATACATATATATATATATATATATATATATATATATATATATATATATATATATATATATATATATATATATATATATATATATATGTATATATAGAATAGAGGCCCTAAGCCGTAAAAAAAATAGCTAATCGTAAAAATAAATTAGGTCAAAAATAAGATTATTTGAATCAATTTACTAATTAATTAAAAAACTTTAAACTGTAATTTTCTCCACGTTTCTACAACTTTTTTAAATTTTCTCCACGTTTCTACTACAAGTAAATATAATGTAAAACATAGTTATTTAACTTTTGCTACTTTTACCCGCTAATCAATATATATTGTTCAAATTTTTTTATTATAAAGTTATATTAAAAATTATTTTATCAATGAATATTATCTAAATCATTATTAAAACTAATTGCAAATACTCGGTAAACCAAAGTTACATGCGTTTATTAGGGATGTAACGAAGCTAAGATTTTGCCGAAGCCGGAGCACACGCAAAATTTTCATTAAGAACCTCACCATATCCAACTTGTTAGTGTCTTTATCGGAGCAGGTGTGTTTGTAAACACCCCGCCACTTATAAGGGCATTCATTTTTTAGTAATGCTGATAGGCTAAAGTTGAAGTTGACTTCGTTCATGTTGAATCAAAATTCTGAATCAATTTGAAGTTTAAACTAATATTTCAAATCTTTAATCCAATAAGGAAAAAAGAATACTCTTATTTAACTTATAAATAAACATTAATAGTTGATAAATAATTATGTATTGCATGGAAAATTAAAAATATTAAATGCCGCCAGACCCGTAACTACAGGAAGACAAGGCCTGCCTATAAATAATTTGTGCCTGCTAGCAGGGCCGTCCCGAAGTGATTTTAAAGGTGAGGGGGGAAGAGGGGGAGAGGGGGCTGTGTCTATTTTTTTGCTGATTAAAGCCAAATAAAAAATTGTTTGACCACTAACTTATATAAAAAAAAATTAAAGGTCCTCATTTTCCGACATTTCGCGACGTTAGAATTATCTTGTGCTTTGGAAATACCTAAATTCTCAAAATATTTTTTCAAAGCTAAATTGAAAAAATATTTTGAGAATTTAGGTATTTCCTAAGATTTAAAAATGTTTTATTATTAATTTTTAGATAAAAAAAACTTTTTAAAATTACGCTAACGCCCTTTTTTTCGCACCCTCTTTTGGAGATAGAACAAAATAACTTTGGTTTTTAGTAAAATTCAAAAATATTATGTTGTTACATCATATATATTAAACATATTAAGTACATTTTTCAACAACGACATGTTAGAAATTGATGAAATTTTGTTCTACCTGCTAATTATTTTTACGCAGTAAGAATAATTAGCAGGTAGAACAAAATACACTCCTAATTTATGGGCATGGGCCCCTAATTTAACGGGACCCTTTTCAAAATATAAGACGCTTTTTGTATTACCTAAAAAATTAAGTTTTTTTAAATAAAATGAGGCCCTAATTAGGAGAACTTTTAGAAGAGCCTCTAACGACACTGTTCTTACGACTTACATTTACTTTAATTACCTGTAGGCGCCGGCCCTGGACAAGACTAAGACGTCTAATTTAAAACGGAAAATTTGGCTGCGTAATAATAATATAAACGTATTAATATAATATAAACGTATAAAATAAATTATGAAAGGTATATAGGAAAGAGTTATGTTAAAAAAAATGTAATAATAAAAGAAATAACATAATGTAACTATCTGATAATTCACAACAATTCAACTAATCTAATCACAAACTCCATGCAAGATGAACTTGATTTTATTTTTCTTATGCCTGTGTATCCATTAATAGAGTTTAACTTTTTATTAAAAGTTATTGCAAATATTTACAAATAAAAAATTGTTACTCAAGTTAACGTCAGGAAGGGCATCAGGTTGTGAAACATTGCTTTAACTCTTTCATAGTGGCCTTTATGTCACTATGGAAAATCATCCAAACCAAACAAGTGGGGGAAAATGAATATAAAAGTACAAAAAAACAAACAAAAAAAACACAAGCTAAGCAAAAATTTTTATCAAGATTTCAAAATAATATTATTTCAATGTGTTTTATATTTATATTTATACTAAATAAATATTTTATTTAAATATGTTATTTATATGTATATTATTTATATTATTATATATATATATATATATATAAATATGTTATTTTTATTTATACTAAACATATAACAACCCTAAAAATATTTTGACTTTATTAATGTTTTGTAAATGTTCAATTTATTATTGTATTAAATGCAATATCAACAGCAGGCATGTATGAATACATGGAAATGATATCATTGGCTTTTGCAACAGATATAGACTGATAAGAAGCACGAAAGCAAGCTGCCATTGGTATATTGGTATTTAATGGTTTTGCAACAATGGTTGATGCTGCTTTCTTGACAGACTTATTTATACGAGCTTGTGAATAATTATCTGAAAACGAGGTTTTAAAAAAAACATGGTATGGCAGTCCGTTTCGATAAACAAGATTTTTAACCTTTGAATAAGGCACTAACTTATAACTTGACAAACCAGCGACAACTGAAAAATTCTTTACATCTCCTAATTGCATTTGGTAAACACAGAAAGGTTTTTTACGGTTTACATTTTAAATAGCTCTTTCTAGCCCAAGTGGACTAAATATTTCTGCAGCAGAGAGGGATTTTTTAATCTGACTATGAATGTTGTCACATTCTTGAATGCTGGAATGACCTGGCTCGCAGAACTTCTGTTCAATTACTTTTATTTGTGGGTATCGTATTATAAATTCACACAAAGCTGCTGACATGAAACTATTGCGGTTTTGTGGTACACATGAATCGAACCAAAGTATGAACTTATTTATGTCAAGGTCAGCCATGATTTTCAAAAGCAAACATGTTACAGCACTTGCTAGATCATTTCCTCCACGACCAGTCATGGCTTCGTGCCAAAGGATGCAATAACCCTTCCTGTTAAGCAAGCAATGACCAGTTAAGTTATAATTTGAAAGTTTTCGTTTGTAATAAAAGTTTCCCACATTAGCTCTAGGCAAATTTAAAACATTTTCAAGGTCAATACAAACAATTGCAGTTTTAGAATCAACATTTTGGCGATCATTTTCATGTTCAGTTTTGGTATCATTCCTTGATTTTATGTGCTTATTATAACTATCTGTTTGTTCATTGCTTGCATTAACAATGTTGCGATACTCATAGCATGTGTCACATAAATCTTTCTTCGGTTTTTGAAATTCTATATTGAACTCATGATTAAAGATATAACGATACATATGTTCTTTTGCTGGAGGAGAGACATTTTCATCACAATATATTTTATAAAGATCATACATTCTACCTATATTTAGTGATCCTTCCATGTATTCTTTATGTGTCTTTTTCCTGCTATAATGAGCATCAATTCTTGGGAAAAGGTTAATATGGTCTCGTACAACTTGTTTGAATCTTCTAGTAACCTTTTTTTAACATGTTTCCCTGATTTTGATTGCAATGGTGTTCCAGTAGTTAAAGATTTATTAAACTTATGAAAGTAAAACACTCTATGGCTGCTAATATTCAATGTTGAAAGATAATATGATTTACAAACTCTATATTGTGAATTAGAAACAAAAAAGCTATAATAATATGTTTTTCTTCTTGAATTGTCACCAGCAGCTGTCCGACAGCGTTTTTTCTCCAGATTTTCAGTAGTTTTAGAATAGAAATGTTTTTTTCCGTCATCATCTAAGGTCCAAAAGTTATCAAATATTATTTGACGCTCAATCTCAGATATATTGGTAGAACATTTAAATTTACAATTTCTGCAACTTTTTAGTGCAACAATAGATCTTTTTGGCATTTGTTCTCCTTTCGTATTTTTATAAGCTTTACCCGACTGACGTTGGATTTTTCTTACACTTTGTTTCCAACTACTCCTATCAGCTTTACGTTTCCTAGAAACCCCACCATGGGGCGACCGACGAGAAGGTGTAATGCCAAGCAGCTCTAACGATTAAAATATTAATTTTTTGTTATCCAGGATGTATAAATAATAACTTTTAAATTTAATCTAAAATGGCACAAGCGAAAGTCGAATTCTACTTTTCCAAAATTATAATACAAATTAAGTTGAAAAACTACCTTCGTTTTGATTTAGGGCAGGTTCCATTTCTTGGTCAATATTTGCAGTTGCCATTTTGAAAACAACAAAACTGATAAAATTATTCCGAACAACTTTGTAATTGTAATATGATTGGTTGATTGGAGATAGA